ATAAAATATTGTTTATGCGTTTTTCAGTGTTAATCTCAATGATTTTGTTCTATGGGAAGTGTATATGACATCGCTCGAATTCCACTGTGACTGGATCCTATGGCACACATCCATCCACACCAACACCCTCATTCACAAAGTTTCACTTGATTTTCTTTTTTTATTTTCTTAAATGACAGTTAAATATTATACTGGGATGCCACATATATACTTTTCTTACTTGACAATAGGTCAAATGTCTTTAATGAAGTGAATAAAGGTACTCATTACTAGTATTTGTTAATAGTATTCGTACAAAAAACGAAAAATTTAACGAACTTCTATCACTAACAAAATCACGAGTCAATGTGAAACAATCAAAATAGAAATGTTTCAATTTTTTGTATTAGAGCACTATTTATAGCCCAAGCTGTGTACTACAACATGTAATACGTTGCCTCCATTTCGTTCAAAACGACTCTTGTCGAGATAACTTACAAGAAAAGTATTTTGTCTAAAAGTATTTCATTATGTACGCGTTACATACCAGAGCTGCCGGCCTGGCCTGCTGCCTGACAGGCGCCTGGCAGGCCCTCAGGCCGTCCACCAGGCCAGGCCGAATTCTGAAATTTTAGCCTGGCCTGATCCGTCCAAATAATATTCGGCCTGGCCTGCAGGCCAGGCCAGGCTGAAGTTGTTGGCCTGCAGGCTAGACCAGATCAAAATGATCAGCTTGTCCATGTAAAAATTTTAAGAAAATTTAACGATTTAACGAAAAGAAGGCATAACATTTTTCACTATTAATATGTGCTAAACGTTCTTTTCAACAAATCTCATTTGTTAATTCAAGCTAAACTGTTTCTGTCGAGATAGAATGTGTGGAATTTCGTTAAAAGCCAATTTTTAACCTGTTTTCAGATGTATAACCGTAATATCTTTTCTCGTTAAATCACAGAATACTTATTCACTTTTACTTAAGTAGTTCCTAAATGTTGAAGATCAAATATTGATGCACGGTCTTATTATCCGAAACTGATTTAACAAATTCATGCGATTCTAGCGGTCAAAACTTGTACTGAACATTAATTTAATGTTATAGGATCTGTATTCACTCACAGAAGGGCTTGTTTAGATTCAGAACAAATGGATAATAAATTTTGTGATCGTGTATTCATAAAATTTGATTCTTAAATAAAAATCTCGTTGCCTCCCATCATAAGTAACACTCATTGACGATATTTTTGTTCTGTATTTTCTTTACCTATTCATTCTACGCTTCGTCATATGTTGTTTAGTTACCATGGATATATTTTTTCGAATAATGCAGAACAGATTTGCTACAATCGAAGGCATTTTGTTAATTGAAGCCTTTCTCGGACGGTGTGTGGGTGTCAAAAAGACCTAGACAGATTAACATCCACTCACACACTATAGAAGTATCCTTTCTTCAAAATGGCCGACTCCAACAGGTCTTAGTATGTTGAAAAAGAGACCTATAAGCTAAACAAAAATCTGTTGACTCACCATTGAAAGCATTGTTTAGGCTTTTCAACAAGTTCCTCACTACACTTAAATAAAAATCAGTATAAGATTTGCAAATTCATATTCGAGGTTTGCAGGCAATTTGAATTAGACCAGGCCAGGCCGCAAAAAAGTGGTCTGCCGGCAGCTCTGATTAGTACAGAGTTATTGAATTTAATGGATTTCAAAAATCAGAAACATCAATCGGCCTGGTTTGACCTGCAGGTCAGGCCAGGCCAGGCCAGGCCAGGCCAGGCCGGAAAAAAGTGGCCTGTTGGCATCTCTGGTTCGCAAATGAGGGGATACCATAAAATCAAGTACATTTCGATCAGTACATATATAACATCTCATATAAAACCCTAACATATTCAAATAAGTAGGAAAAAATAATAATGATTTAAAATCAAGATTTTAATTTTATTGCATGAATATTTATGTAGAAAAGATGATGTTGAACTAAACTGTCACTTTTATGAAATATATATAAAATATCATTTTGTTGAAAGGTTAATATTTTTTGAAAAATAATTATGAATAGAAAACAATAGTTTAAGAGACTATCTATGAGGACACTAAGAAATTGAAGTACAAATGAAAATTTTGATTTTTGATGTGTGTTTGAACGCTAATAGTCTAAAACCATTGAATCTAAAACTTTAACTCATTTCGTTTAGTAGAATAAAGTTCATTAAAATTGAGTTCTGAACTCTGTCAAATTCTTATCAAAAAAAATAATCAGAAATCGTTCCATAGATGTTTAATAAGATTATGCTTCAACAAGTCAGATATTTTTTTTTTCATGCTATATGCTAAAACATAGAGCATCAACCATTAAAAAAATTTAAACATTTAGATTTTTGCATATAATTTGCTTATTGTACTTTATTTTTAGTTACAAGTGAATGGGAAGTATCATAATTTTGAGTTAATTGTAAATCGAAACAATTGTTAAAATTTGGAATCAGCATAAAAAACTATGATGAATCGAGGTGTGGGTGGGTTGGTATGCAGGTGTGAGTGTGGATATCTGTTTTCCTTCCATCCACGTCCACACCCCACACCACCCATACCCTTGCTATCGAATGGTCATGCTGAAGGCCAAAGTTCAATGAGAAATGTCTTCAGGATTTTGTTTTCAAAATGTCCATCAAGAATTTACCTGATTGGCCAATTGTAGACCAATTATATTTTTACATTTTTTAACAAAAAATATTATTCCTCTTCGAATGCTCCAAACCCCAGGTCTCTAACTGCTTTTGTTCTCGAGTTATTCAAGTTACAACTGAGTCCATTAAATTTTTGAATGGATATAATTGATGAATATGAATTTGGTCGTTTACAATTGAATATGAAATGCATGATTTTATTCAAGATTTATTTTGTCATCACCGATGTGATCCCAAAGTTTTGTTTTTTATCACATTATCTGCTATAGATCATTATTGTGAAGATGTAAATGTCTATAATCTTGAAACGAAACAATTGAAGTCAATTATTGAACATGAGGTTTTTATGGACTCCTTTGGATATTTATCCCACCGTGAAAAGATCTTAATTACTACTCGTATCTTTTCTCACTTTTTCTAGGAGTCGAAAAATCCACCCTAGTCGAACTTTTTTATTCATGCGCTTGCAAGACTTGAGCTCAAGATGTGTCCATAGTGCATGACTTTCTTGCTCAAGACACCCGCTTGAATGTTTGCATGAGTTACAAAAAAATGCAACTATAAATTTTTATTAAAAGTTGACTTATTTTGAACGTAAAATTGAAAAAAAAATTGAAAAAAGTTCTTTAATAACAGAAACTCTTAGATAAAAATTCAAGCGCATGAGCAAAAAGCTCAAGAACTTGAGCTCACCGAAAGGCCTCATATCTTGCCTCAAGATGTGTCCATAGTTCTTGACTTTCTTGATCAAGAAAGTCAAGAATTGCATGCGCTTGCAAAAAAAAGTTCGACTAGGGCAAGTATATCAACATTATTTCAAATGCGTGTGGCGCATTTGAAATGTACTTGTATGAATATTATGACAAGTATGAAAGGAATTTTGGAGAATTCAGCAACGATAAATTATAAGAATCAATTGAAGGAAGAAAAAGAATAAAAAGGATTTTGAACATTGGATAAATGATAATGGATCAATAAAGCAAGCTTATGTGACAGCATCTCTTTTACAAACGATGATTAATAATAATCTGTATTTCCTTGCTGATGAAGACCATGCAATTCTCGAAGAAAGCAATTTTTTTCAATGCTTCTGATGTTATCGCCGATGTTAAACAAGGTACATTCATGGATTGTAAGTTTATACATTTCTATTTAGGACAAACACACTTATCGACCCCCTCTCATGTATTAATCCAATTCGACTGATTAGCCTCTGGAGAAATGTGGATTTGAGTGTGGGTATGGATGTAGGTGTAGATGAAGATCTAGATAAGATGAATTCACACCTAGGGGTGAGCAGTTCCCAAGTAACGGGGTAACGGGCACATACTATAGACTACCTTGAGGTCCCCGAGGGCTACCACAGGGATTCTCTTGGTTCCTCGAGACCTACCACAGGTATTACCCTTGATTGCTAAAGACCTACTATAGGAGAGTACCCTGGGATCGTTAACGCCTATACTAAACAAATTTGTTTACAAAAAAAGCTTTGTTTGCTAAAAAAACTTTTTTTTCCACAATTTTTTTGAATACAGAAATAGAATCTCTGAGAAAAAATAAATTTTCACTCAAACACCCTAAAATTTTGTGGTAAAAAATTTTGTTTACAAAAAGCATTTGTTTTCTAAAAATGTTTGTTTACAATAATATTGTTGTTTAGTGGGCCTTGAGGACCCAAGGGTATTCCCCAATAGTAGGACTAGATGACCTAAGGGTATCCCCCAATAGTAGTACTTGTGGACCTAAGTGTATGCCCCAACAGTAGCACCGTTACTCCGTTCCAGAGTAACTGGACCGTTACCGTTACCCTGGGAAATGGTAACTTTTTCTATGTGAACCGTTACCGTTATCGGGTAACGGTCTGGGAACGGTAACTGCCGACCCCTATTCACACCCACACCCACACCCAGATCCAGACCCAGATCCAAGCTCAGACCCACACCGACACCTACACTCACACCCGCAATATTCATTCTATCAAATAGAATCTATCTTGTTATTCAAGGCACATCCATTTAAAGAATGTCTATAGGTCTTTTGATTCAACCATTTCTTATAGAGAATTTCTTCAGTTGTTTAAAGGACTCGTTAGATTGGTTTTAACTATTACTATTCAGAAGAAACCTTGAATATACAATTGTTATAAACTTTTGTCGTTATAGGTAGAAAAAAAAAGAATAAAGTGTAAAATTTTTATTCTAGTATAAAATAACAATAGATTTTAATTCTCAATTCAAAAAAATTAAACAAAGTCAGTTTTATTTAATTAGATACAAAAATATTTTTATTGATTTTTCATTAAAATAATAATGCATAAAAGTAAAAATATTTGCATCAAGCCAAACAACGTAGTATATCTTTTTCATTTGGTTGACGTTCAAGATATTCTTTTTCAATTAATATCTCAATACATTCCTATAATAAATATTTATCAGTAAAAATTTTTCTTTTTAAAATATGAGCAAAATTTCAATTTACTTGAATCACAGGTATTTCCGGTTTAAAGTGTGAGCTTAATTGTTGAATTACTTCTTGGATTAATAATTTATATTTTAAAGTTTGTCGAACTTCCATTGTTCGAACAATTGCAGCTTGAATATCCTTTCTATGATCTTCATCAATTGTTCGATGTGAATCTTCAATATCTTTTTTTTTGCTTAATTTCAATGGTAAATTTAAATTTATTTTTATCTTTTTACTAAAAGAAAATTTAAGAATTCTTTTAATAGTACAAGCATCATCAGTCAACTTTATAAAAATCATCGAAGTTAACCAGTGGCGAAAAATATTCAATATATATATTATTTATATATAATGATATTCTAATCTATTATAAAATAAACATGGAATTTTATCTAACGCTGTTAACTGCTACTGAGTTTTTTTCGATTTTTATTATTTTTCTGAATTATTATTAAATATTAATTCTTTGATTTTCTGTCTTAATGTTTTCTAATCGATTATTCTAATGTCCCATTTTACCATCACTATTCAAATGTTCTCTTAACTAACTCATTAACAATAATCTTGTGCCATTACACTCACAATTTTCTTGGAAAACATGTTTTTTTTCTATAAACTTCCAATCTACTAACCTTTTAAAATCATCATCTATTTCAATATGATAATTCATTTTAATATCATTTTCTTTCAAATCATCATCATTAATTTCTACACATTTTAATAATTTATTTTTCAATAAACCACAAAGAATTTGCAAAAATAAATTAACTTGAATTTGAGTTTCATCTTGCATTTTTTCAACTATCCAATGTGAAGATTTATTAAATAAAAGTAAAACTGCCATTTGATATGTTGATACCTTTAATTATTAAAATAAAGATCAAATCATAGATCAAATCAATACATACATTTAAAGTATATCTTGGGTTCGTATATAATGTTTGTACATCTCCATGAGAATGTTGATGAAGCCATGTTAACTTACCACCACTACGTTGTTGAGTATAGAATTTAGTAAAATTGTCTAATGTTGTTTTAAGCTACAAGAATCAAATGTCTATCAGTACATCAATGATGATGTTAAAAATAATTCGTACTTCAACTGGTATAATAAGCTCTGATGACGTAGAAAATGACCATGAATTTGAATTAAGAACCATCACAGAACAATCAACTATATGAAAACAAAAAACAATCATAAAATAAAATATGAAATTTGAAAATCAAATTCAAATACCAATATTATCAAGTTGGTTCCTTTCATGATATGTTCGATATTGATTATTTAAACTTTTACTATCACGACTATCTCGAAGCATTTGTCGTAATTTCAATATATATTCAAAATCACATTCTTGCTAAAAATTTTTATTCAATATAGATCTTTTTTTTCTCTTTTATAATCGAGAATATATTATATTACTTCTAGTTTAGAAATCATTGATTCTTCATAATCATCAGATGTACTTAATTGACTAACTAAACGTCTGGCTAACATTTCTCTGTAAAATATTTGAAAAGTATCTTTATTTTCAACATAATTGAATATCACCTTGAATACAAAAAAACAAATAAAAAATATATAATAGTTTAGAAAATAATACCATTATCTGATTGAATTTTTCTTCTAGATCCGTTTTTTCTTGAATTTTACTTCTATAAACAACAAATAATGTTTAATTCATTATACTTCAAATAAATTTTGTACAAACCCTTTTCGTAAAAGTACATCACAATAACGTGCTAATAGTTCAGCCGTTTTTCTTGTATTACCAGCAGCTTTTGTTACTGCATCATTATTAATAAATTTATAACAAGTCTAAAACATAATTATTTATACTATTAATATTAAGTGCTTAAAATTTTCGGTTTTAGTCACGAATATTTTCATATTCCAATTTAACGTATTTATGAGAAAGAATACAAATTAATTTCAAAAAAAGTTTAAAATACATTTTATTATTATCACTATACTCGATTTAGGCTCCATGATTACAAGTTATAATAACAATACATTAGACTTTAAAAAAAATCATTCGTGATAGTATATATTACATGAAAATAAATTAGAGAATAGAATTTAACTTACTTTATCGAGAGCAATTTTCAAATCTTTTTCACTATGAACAGCTTCATGTGCAAGTTTTAAATGATTTGTATAAATTTCAAGAATAGTTTCAACATAAAGTTTTGGATTCTAATCAATCAAATAAATAAATTAAAATGAAAGAAAAAAAGAAAATTTTTGTTATTACATTAATTGCATCATTATTGATACGTTCAATAGCATCAACACACATTTGATGAACATGATCTTCAAAGATATTTCTTAATTCAGTAGTTGCTTTTTGTACTGAAATAACCATTTTGAATAATAATACAAAATCTATTTAAAAAAAAACATAATTAAATAAAATTCTTTGATAACAAAAATTAACTTTTATTTATTTTTTTCTTTATTTACCTAAATATTTATCTGTGCGTAATAATTCTTTGGCTTCGACATATATATTTTCAAGTTTATCTTGAATGAATACGTTTTCAAACATTTTACTTAATTCTTTTAATGTTGATGAACGTAAATACGATTGTATACGATGTATTTCTTCATCAAAAAGTTTAACTACCTATTATAAGTATTTTTGTTAAATTTTTATAGATATACAAATAAAAGGAAACCTTTTTTAAATATTCACTATGAGATATATCAAACATAGCTGCTGGTTCATGATAAAATTGTTCAGTTTCTTTAAGGAATGATACTTCAGCCGATGACGGTGACGTTATTTGATGAATATTATTGAATACAGATGAATTCTCGGCAAAACCAATTTCAACTAAAGTTTTTTAAGATAATTTTCAAAAAAAAATTGTTCTATATAAATTTTACTATAACTTTGTATGACTCTACTAATCAACAGAGTATTGATTATTTCATTTTGACGTTGAGATTCGATTAGTTGTAGACATACTTTAGTAACTTGTTCATGAAATTGTTCAAAAATAACTGATTTCCATGTTTTGATAGCCATCTAAATTTATATTTAATTTTTAATAAAATTAAAAAAATAAATAAATAATCAAATTAACTTACAGTAAAAATTCCATAAACATCTCTTCTTCCTGAATCATCTTCTCTGCGTACCCAAGATCGATTTAAGTAATGACAAAAACCATTTGTTATTTTACTTGAAAATCGATAATTTTCCCAATTAGTTGCATAGAAACGAAGTAAATCTTCTTCTTGTAATTTAAGTCCTTTCTACAAACACAAAAAAGAATAAACAAAGAATAATAGGATATAGAATTATATACAAAGTGATTATTTAAATAATGTACTAATTTTTACAAGGCACAATAGAATTGTCTGACATTAACAAGAAAGCAAAAATAAATAATATCTTTTGTTAATTACTTCATTCCCTTTTTGTTTTTAGCTTTCCATTACTTTCTATGAGTTCGATTGTCAGATTTTATACTATGACTTATAAAAGTTATTGAAATAATAAATAATAAAAAAATTATAGTTAATGATATAATTTTAGGTTTGAATTATTTATGTTTTGTTCATGTTTTCATTTCATTTACATATAACAAAGTATAATTTAAATATAAAACCTTGAAAATAATTTAAGACTACTTTACTAAATTTTTACCAATAATAATTTATTTCCATTACTATAAAATGATTAGACTATGTGTCAAACAATCTGTGCTTTTCAGTTTATTTGCTTTTCACCAAATCGTTCAAACTTAATAAATTTGTTTTTTTGTCTAATAATTTTTATAAAGATTTAAAAGAAAAGATTAAAAATCAATAAAATAATTTTAATTATTCTATTGACATCATACGAATGATTCTATTTTGAAGTGTTACAGTTAATTGCTTTATTATAATATATTTAATGAATCATATCAATACAAAATAAAAAAAAATAAATAAAATTTTTCATTTCTTTAGAAAAACTCAAAGATCATATAAAGTTTTTCTCTTGTACTATAAATACAAATAGTTAATGATTCATGAATGATAAAAAATTATCAAACAAATTTTTTAAGCGTCTTTCATTGATTATTTCATGAGTATAATAATTATTCAATAATTGAAAAGAATAATTAGTGTTATATTTAACTCTTTTCTTCTAAAGAAACAATTTATAAGTATGAAAATAGAAAAAATATTTATTTTTGATAAATTAAACATAATCTCTTTCACAATAAATTATTCGTATTTGATAGGATATTGAACCATACTAATTTTTCATACAATGTTTTGGTTTTTTTTACAATTTATAGCTTTGAAGATCTTGATTTTCTATGAGAGTCTCATTAGAGAATATTTTATATTGTACTTTGTTTTTTGTTTAATATCATAACTTGTACAATGAAGGAAGTAAGAAAATGAGTAATGATTGAATCTTTCTTAAATAAAATATGATGATTCTTATCATTATTATAGAATTCTAGAAATTTTCATGATAAAAAAAAGTAAACAAATATAAATTTTCATTTTAAACATTAACTTAAATCGGTATATAATCTTCTAATGTTGTGATTATTTAATTTTTCTAAATCAACTGATCTTACTTTACAAATCTTTTCCAAATAAGATTTTAGATATTTTTTCAATTTATCATATAATTCACCACCACCAATATTTGCTATATCATGTACATTAGCTCGTCGTGCTTGTGGTGTAGTATATATACAATAATTTAGAACATGACTATAACAAAATGTTTAGATAATAAACTACTAACAAATCATCATATTTTATTTACCAGTAAAGGTCCATATAATGTGAAGGTGAGAGTTCTTGAAATTGGTATGTACGTTTCAAACCTTCGGATATTTTCATCCAAGCATCATTTAAGTTGAAACGACGATCTGATTGTGTCATTTTTGATAAAATGGACTCTAGCAAAAATAAAATGTCAAAACTAATCGGTTTTAAGTAAATATCAGAATAATTGTTTTGAAGTGCCATACTTACAATTGATAACAAAAATGCACTGATTCTTTATTTTGAATTGATTATGATATCTGAAATATAAATTTAAAAAAAAAACATTGTTTTTCAATCCTAGTTGAATGAAAAGGCTAAATGGAAAACATCATAAATAATATTTATTAAAACTATTATTATTATTAGTTAATCATTGAATTCTTATTAATTTTTTAATTTAAATTTGATTTAATTTGACCAATATTAATATAATTAATGTCCATGATTCAAGAATATTTTCATATTTATCTTGTATTTAGCCAATTCTATTCAGTATTTGACATGTAAATTATATCGAAGAATTCCATCAAATAGATCGAATATAATAATTTTGTAAATAATCAGTTGAATTTTATAACGTTACAATTGATTGTTCATACGAATCAAATTGAAATTCATAACATTTATATATTTGTCATAAAATCAAATTGGAATTATTCAAAATATGTTGACTAATCATCAACAAAAAAAAGAAATATTCCATTATTGTTCAGAATCAACTTTCTTTTTTTTTGTTGACATGCTGGTGTTATTACAAATACGAACTTTCATTCTTGCCAAGTATAGTCACAGTAACAGAACGAAATAATAATCGTGAGTCAATAGAAAAGCATGAGTCGAATTCACTTCAAAATATTTGTTCTTCTATCGATTATAAAATAAATTGTCAAAAATAGTAACATAAAATGTAATTATTTGTCAAGAAATATATTAAACTTCTGAATCAAACATGATGCATAGTGAGTAACAAACATGGAAAGATTCGAACTAATTGAAAATAATATATTATAAAAATAATGATAAGAAAAAGAGAAATCAATAAATGTAATACAGTAAAATATCGGAAATTTACAAATAAAAATAATAATGTCACCTAAAGATAGATTATAGAAGAAAAATGAAAAGTTATTATTGATCTTTGAATATCTTTTAAAAAGAAGTACGTACAGTTATAATTTGCATAAAATTCTAAGATGAACATCAGATTTAGTTGTTATTGCAAATCTGAGAAAAACAAAATGTTATATTTCTTTTTTTTTCGTTAGAATTATAACAGAGATTCGATAAAAAAACCTGACCAATTATAGTTTCCTCAAGAATAGTCTTCTATTGTGTTTCAATTATTTTTATAATTTTTAACTAAAATGAATTTTCAAAGAGATTCATAGAGTTATAAAAGCCTAAAAACTAATATTTACTTCACTCTTTCAATACTTTTCAGGGTAAAATCCTGAAAACTAGCTATATTTCATATAAACATATCAAGTAAAGTTTCAATTTGACTATCAAATAAATTAATAGAGAAAAGTCTTCTTTTGCGGGAAGAGGTTTAGTTTATAATTTGATTCATTTCAAATTCGCAGTAATATGTTTAATTTTTGTTACCACATCTATTCACTATGATATGTTTTTGAAAAAAGATTATCAAATGATACGATAACATTATGTCTAAAATCGATGAATGAAAAAGAATAATGTGTCTTTTGTTAACGGTGGTACGTACGCTGTTCATTTTTGACACAGACGGGTCTTTAATATATGCATAGTTGGTAAATACATAGACTATATGAGAAATATCCAATATAATGAATAATAGAAAGAAAAAAAATGAAATTAATCGTCTATTGCTATAGACGAGTGAATATTGCAATAACTACACATGAATCATACAGTTAATTAAAACAAAGCCAAGAGAAAAAGAACACTCCAAGGAAGAAATAATACATCTTCAATCACCTGTAAACAAAAGATTATAGATCTCTCCATTACGAACATAATACTTGAAAATTTCTTCGAGATATTTCTTTCAGTGTCATGCTATAAATTTCCTTAGAAAATGAATACTGAGAAATTTGGAGTCTATGGGTTTTTTTATTTCAAATTGAATGTTGAAAAAAAAATTACACCTCATTTTTACCAGAGCAGGGATGTGGGTGTGGGTATGCGTGTGAGTGGGGGTGTGTGGGTGTGCGGGTGTGGGTGTGGGCGTGTGTGTGGATATGGGTGTGGGTGTGAGTGCGGGTGTGCGTGTCGGGGTGTGGGTGGGTATCGGCGTGGGTGTGGGTGTGTGGGTGTGGGTGTGGGTGTGAGTGTGGGGGTGTGGGTGTGGGTGAGAGTGTGGATGTGGGTGTGGGTGAGAGTGTGGGTGTGGGTGTGGGTGAGAGTGTGGGTGTGGGTGTGGGTG